AACGATCTTACATAGCTTAATTTCTCAGAATGAAAATTTAACCATGTATCATATGTTTCACTGGGGACGCTCATATTTTTACGACAAAAAACACATGCAAATGGTACATAAAAATGACGGATGAAGAAAGAGAGACAGAGAGGTCCTCCATGCTTATAAATGGCTTCAGTTTTTAGGACGAATTACAACACCTTTGACGAAGAGCCCTGATTTCCACAGTTGGCACTCGTGTTCATACAATGCAAAAGATATTTCCCCCATGTTTGTTATCGATGTGGTGAACTCGCCGACCATAATATCAACCCATTGATTACTCATGTAATCTACCATGTCCACACTCCGCTCTTGCGGTTTCTCCTTACTATTGGGCAAGACAAGCTTTAGCTTCACCGGTGTCTCCCATTCGAATGTGGTGTAATTCAACTTCACCACGAAAACCACCTCGTACCTTGTTCTCGGGGATAAATATCGTGTGTCAAACCTTCCGGCTACATCTAGCCAGCTAGCTTTTCTCAAAAACGCAATTTCGACGATTGATTCACTGGAAAAGATAGTGCTTAGTAGTAAACAATAAATATACAAAAATATCTTTAAAAAGTATATTATATATCAAAATTAACGTTCATTTCATGATTTTTATATATTAAAAAAATGTTTCAACAACTATATACACTACAAGAAAACAGCAACATTTCCGACGGAAATTCCGACGGCCGAGATTTCCGTCGGAAATTTCCGACGGATTTCCGACGGAATTGTGACCAAAAGTAAACCGTCGGAAATCCGTCGAAAATAACCGACGGATTTCCGACGGAATTGCGACCAAAATTAAACCGTCGAAAATCCGTCGGTTATTTTCGACGGATTTCTGACGGAAATAACTTGTCGTAATATTCTGACGACTTTCCGACGGCATCCCGACGGAAATCCGATTTTTCCGATGTCGGCAAAGTTTGATTGGGCAGCGCATACCGACGGAGCTTATTCCGTCGGAATTCCGTCGGAAATTCGATGTCGGCAAATTTGAGTGCTTACCATTTCTTTAGCGGTGGCCGATGGGATTGGTGGGGTGTTATGTCAGAGTTTTGAGACGGAATTCCGTTCTATATAAGTTCCTACATTTCTTCGTTAATTCATATATAACACAATTGTAAAAAACCAAAAAAATTGTTAGCGATGGGTTCATATTTTCGGTCTTGGATGGACGAGCCAATGATGGATGAGGGCTCGAACTTATTAACGTCCGCATACGCTGCAGGTATATGCGAGTTCATGAATTTACCCAGAAACCAAGATGCAGCAAAAAAGGTCAGGATATCAAATGTCCATGTTCTAATTGCTGTAATAGAATTAGTGTTAAGGTGCATAGTGTTTGGAATCACTTATATAGATATGGATTTAGGCCGGGATATAAGGTTTGGTTTTTACATGGAGAAAGCAATTACGAATATGGTAGTACTAGTAGTAATGCACCTTATTTTCCGGATAGCGTAGAAGAACGTACAACGGAAGTAGATGTTGGGGTAAGTACGGTTGCGATGGTTAACGATGCGTTTAGAGAGAATTTGCAGTCGGGTGGTTATGAGGGTGATAGGGTTGAAGAACCTAATTTAGAAGCT